TGACCCAAGGTTTGGTGTCAGATTTCAACGGACATTGACGCTTCCTTGCGGCGCCCACGAGCGGTGATATCCCTCTGCTGAGGTCTATCCGGGTGACTCGATTCTCGTTTCTTTGTTCTCTCTAGTGTCATTCTCTCATTTCATCGCGATTTGCATCAGATACCCGTGTTTGAGTGTATGTGGAGTTCTCCTTGGGTTTGTGAATAGGGTGGGAGGCTATGCTGGTTGTCGGTATTGGTTCTGGGGGTTTCTCGGGGCGTTCTGAGTTTACGAAAGAGTCTGTGATTCGTACTTCTGTTCATATTGCTTTTACCTCCTGTCCCTAAAGTGTGCAGACCCTGACAGTCGAGCCCTTGGGTCGATATGGGCTGCCTGTTATTTCAGACATCACCCGTTCTAACAGCAACATATTGGGCTGTGTGCCGTCGCTGACAGATACAGTGATTTTCTTGGTCGAGTATCCCAATCAACACAAATTTCGTCTACTGCCAGCCATCTCGCAAGACTGGTTGGGCCGTCCAGACACAGGTTCCACACCCGAGACGGGGCGAAGCTTATTGATCCATTATGAACCTGAAATGGCTAGTTGAGAAACAATATTGACTTTAAGAATTTCGAAATGCTACAGGTTACGGAGATGCAATCGCCTCCGTTCCGTTTCGCAAAATTCCCTTCCACCTCTTTCTCATCAAGGAAGCGCTACATGCGATTGCTTGGAGAGGATGATTTGGAGGAATACCGGTCCAGCTGACACATGCAACAAGATTATTTGTTCTTCGGGAAGTCACATCTATAAGTCAAAGGGGTGAATAAAACGCTGCTTCCGAACCAAAAAGTAGAGAAAGTCGATGATACCTCGGGAACGGTCCGAGAAGAGACCCTTTGAACACCTTCCCCTATGAACTCTATCAAGGTGTGCACTCATCATGGGTCATAAGGTCAAGAAGAAATATATCATAAAGCAACATTGGATGGCATTGTGCCAAGGGGTATCTACTTGTCCACCGCGTCCAGAGGAGGTGTTACCATACGCTCGTCCTGTTTTCCGGCAACCAAATCGGCGTTCTGAATTTTAGAACCGGCCGTTTCAATATCAAGTTCTTCCAGGAGAGCGAGATGCTCGGCGGGTAGCGAATTGACAAAATCTGGGCCAGGGCTGGGCCATGTATAGTCCACCCATTGCGGGCCAAGAACGGACCGGATGCCTTGAGCGAGGGACAGAATGCGACTGCGACGTGACTTGGACCAAGCGCGGTCGGTGATGACTCCTTCAGACGGCGTGAGAATGGCTGGCGCTTGGGAAGCGGTAGGTATAGAAGCGGCCTGTGCATGTTCGCTGGTGTCTTCCTCGTCGTCCTGGTTCTCTAATCCATCGACAATGCTGTGCCAAACGCGCAATGTCTCGTTCAGTTCCTCTATATTGCTTACACCCATCACGCTGACACCTAGCCGCTCGCCCGTTCCCATGTGGGCGACGGAGAGAAACCCAGGATCAGCGCCGGGGGACCGCGCAAGAGGCGGGCCTAGAGCCCCAGCCTTAGCACCGTTGTGGAGCCACGACTCGAGAGCGAAGCGGATGGCAATCACCTCGAGTTTCTCTCCTTGAGCATCGACCCACTCGCTCACACTGCGAATGGCTTTCCGAAGACCGTCTGGAGCGGGGTGAAAATCGCCCATGCTTCCAATGGGCACACCCTTGCGCCGTAGAAGGCCCATACCTAACGGCGACGCATTGGGAATCACGTCCACGCCGGCGGCCACTAACCGAGGGAGACCCTGGGTGAGCAGTTGGGTATTCTGGAGTGTGAAATTGGCGTATGACTGCACCGCGTCGAGCGGCTCGCCTGTCTCGCGCAGGACCAATTCTGCAAGGTCGCACAGTACATCCACAGGGTATCCCGATATACCAACGTAGTGAATAGTGCCTTCGGTATCGCGGATGCGGCGCAACTCTCGAATCGCCTCGAGGACCTGCTCGGGGCTCACGAATTCAACATCATGGCAGTAGACCACATCCAAGTAATTGGTATGGAGGCGGCGCAAACTCCGCTTCACGCTGTACCTCACCCATTTCGGAGAATAGTCAAAGGAAGAGGCTGCCACTCGGCCCACTTTGGTGAGCAATCGGTATGTATGACGGGGAAAATTGGAGCGAACGTAATCAGTAGCCAGAGCACGACCGAGAAGCTCCTCGGCTGGGCCGTAATACGGGGACGTATCGAAAGCACGGACACCGCTCGAGAGAGCGCGATGAACTAGTTCCGTCGTGGGGAGGGCGTATGGATCCTGGTTGTACTGAGAATTGAAAGTCGCGGTGCCCATAATGAGTGGCGGAAGATCCGCCGACAGAGGGACAGAGGGACGCCCCATGATTGCGGGTTGCCACTTGTAAGCAATTCACAGAGTTCTTGGAGGTAAGAGGAGCAATGCGCTGCAATCTTCACTGACGAGACTATCAACAAGCCTGTGATCAATCGTGGAGATAGAAAGAAAGAAATACTTGTTAGGAGGGGCGCGAAGGCGAGCCATTATTATTCTGGAATTGATTTCTAACCCATGGGGCTGATGCCCACCTTAGAGGGAATGGCGCCATGGACTGGGTCCGATTAGTGTTGATTTAGATCAGTCCGATGAACTTCATGGCCAATCGACTGTACATAATCAATCGGATCTAGAATTATCAGAGGTTGGGAGATCTTGGAAGTTGGAAGATGGAAGATGGAAGACTTCTGCTAGCAGTATTGATTGATGGTACCTGAGATGGGATCGATTGATCGATCCCAAGGCGGTGGTGAGAGAACGCCGAGAAGAGCTAAAAGCGAACTCCCGGCAACGCTCTTACACCTCTATACGCATCTCCTACCATTAAAGATGACAAGAAATCCCTGAACTATAACTGTTCTGTCACTGTCCGGGTAGGCAGTATATGACGAATGCTGAAACTATATAAAGCTGGAGGCTGGGTGGACTTTATTGCCCAAGGGAAGAGAATAGACAAAAGCAGACCGTCACCACACGGTGTACTATGGTACATTTGTTGATTCATTCCATTAATTAGACAAGGTAGAGTGGAGAAAAATTTGCGATAGACGGGGAAAAGGACAGCATCTGCTCAGAGAAGAGACGAACTCTCCGTGACTCAGAAATAGCTGTTTCCCATGTATCCCGCTCCTCGAGAATAATGTACACAAAAGGGAAGAAACCCGCACTCCTAGGAGCCGAATAAAACACATGGGCGAGAAAAACAATAGGTCGCGAGCGAGATGGTGTACAACATGATGCGACGGCATCTTTCGCTCCAACCGTGCCATGCAATGAACATCGAAGTAGCCAATGCAAAGGGCAGGGGTCTATATTGTCTCCAATACCAACATTGGGAGCCACCAAACAAAACGCCTTGCTATGCCGAAGAGCTGAAAGGAGAACCATAAAAAAAAGCAGAAAGCGACAGCGGATCGTAGTCTGTCCCAACTCAACGATCGATCTCTCCATTCCGCGAATCGACAGCGGGTCGGGTCGGATTCAAGAGCGCATAGCGTCGTGGGTAGGAGTCGAACACACTCAAACTCGACGTTTTTCAAATTCCGGTGAAACAGGGGGAAAGAAAAAAAAAAATCACCGGTCCTTGTACACCTTAGGATTCCAGCCTTCCCGGAGTTCTTTCTCCTGTGCGGCTTTGCGCTCCGCTTGTCGGATCTCCATCTCGATTCTCTCGCGAGCGCGCAAGATTTTGCTCTGCAGATAAAAGCTGCCGCCCTTTTTGGGATCATTCAGATCAAACAGCTTCTTGAACCGCTCCATCACCTGTTCCAGATTCGTTTCTCCACCGGCCGGTGGCTTGACGTTGAGAATCTTGCAAGCCTCATCAAGTGTCAAGCCGGAAGATGCAAATGTGCTTGAGCTTCCTCCCTTTCCCTTATTTGCCTGGGCGTATTTAGACGATGCGGAGGCCTGCTTGTACGCTTCTGCGAAGGCTCGACCGAATACCCGAGCGCCGGTGACGACGACCTGGGTAAGGATACGGTGGGCCTATGAAGTAGCCGGGAAGTCAGCTAGTTGCGCCTGCTAGTGATGAAGAGGCTGAAGCATGATCTTATGGAAACGAGGACAAGGCTGTCGAGAGAAGCACTCACCATGTTGGAGGAATTAGAGAAGCAAAGGAAGATCAATGTCGGAAAAGATCAAAAGGTACTGAAGAACCTAGATCGAAGAGAGAATTCTCAATAAGAAAAAGAAATAAGATGAAGATAACCGGCCAAATGTGAATACCTATCCGGTCGTGAAGAGACTGAGGGGTGAGGGTTGAATGGATGGATGGCGCTGGACAACCGGAGAATCGCAGATGGAACCTGAAGCCAGACGCTCAATGGCAAAAATTTCGGCGGCGGAATTGGTCCAGTCGCGGTTCATTGTCGGCTTCGGCCCAGTGACAAGAAGAGCTGAAGAACACCATTATCGTATGGTTTGTTCAGTAGATAAGTGCTTACTGTTAATCTTGATACTATTTGTACTTGCAACCATTTCAATCTTGAAAATACTAATCAATCCTTATTGTTTCTTGTATACTACTAAGATATCGCCCTGGTATCCTCTTTAGGACAAGCAGTCACATGTCCCGAGAACCACGAGCAAAAGGCTTCAACTGTCCGCGGATCTCAACCTGTTTCCCCCGCAGTCGATGATCTGCCTGCAACCCTTTCGGTTCTTGGAGAGCTTTTCTTCTCGTCCGACATAATATCGGTTTCTCCGTCTCCTCTCCTCCTCCCCTTCTTCTTCGCGATCGCACTGCCCGCAATGCTCTTGATCGATGATGCATGTGACCTCTCTGTTGGATGGCAGCACTCGGTACGTGACACAACTGTAATCCATCGCTACCTTACCGCGCCCATATACTGGAGAAGGATTACCGAGCCGGGAAGAAGCAATATGGATCCGGTTCGATTGAAGGGTATACAGGAGATGCTGATGCTGTGGTAGAAGATATTCCGTGGATAGATTCCATGGCCCCGTCATACGCGCAGGATCATGGCTTACAGCCTGATTCTCAGCCACCAACGGTTGCTGCTTTTTCGCCCAGTACCATTTCAGGCTCATCCTTGACGTCCAGACAACGTTCCAGCATAATCGTACATCGCAAATCTCCCCTTCTTGTGGCTACACCTCCGGCCATCACTCGAGCTCTGGCCTATTCTCATCCTTTTATACTTCCTTTGAATAAACTCGCCGGCTTGCTCACGTGGACAACGGACGACCCATGGCAAAGCTTCCTTCTTGTGGCGGCATTTTGGACGGTGGTCCTGTACAGCGATGCGATTATTCTTTGGGGCGGTCCAATGATAGTCGTCATCGGGCTAATCCTCGGCATGTATTGGAGACGCTTCTCTCCGTTATCGACGGCAGCATTCACGGACGAGAAACGACAGCACCAAAAGAGTGCCTCTGAGAGTTCTTCGCATCAGCATGAGACTTTGGATGAGATTGTCGAGACATTAAGAACTTTCACGACTCGGTGCAACATCCTCCTGGAGCCTCTCCTTGAGCTTACGGATTTCCTATCAACCCAGAGAACGGCGACCTCTGCGACTACAAGACCCGCTCTCACTACTATGTTCATACGGATTCTTTTTGTGACTCCCATCTGGATCGCATTGACCCTTCCGCCCTTCTATATAATCACAACTCGCCGTGTTGTCATGACTATAGGCACCATCATTCTCACCTATCACTCCCGACCAGCAAGAGTATCACGAGTCATTTTATGGAGATCCCTGACTGTTCGCCGTATATGTTCCATGATTACCGGTCTTTCATTTTCTTTAGATGCCAATAAACCTCAGTCCCTCTGGGCTCAGAGCCACGGTCATGCTGCAACTATTGCAACGAGGCGGCGAGGGGATTCCTCCGGTGTTCGCTTCACCTTTGTGCTTTACGAGAATCAACGCCGGTGGCTCGGAATTGGATGGACATACTCTCTGTTTCCCTCTGAGCGCGCTGCATGGACCGATGAACATCTGAACCCGGCTCCGTCCAAGGATGATTTTGAACTCCCACATGTACAGGCTGGGAGTGCCAAGTGGCGCTGGGTCGAGGGCAGCGAGTGGCGTATTGAAGGAGCTGATGATACGAACAGCAAGGCAGATGGTAAAGCAGCGGATGGTGGAGGATGGATCTACTATGATAACAAGGTGAGACCGCACCTCCGTCCGTGCCAGTTGACCCCTATTTAACCGTCATGTGACATGATAGTGGAATGATGGCCGTCGTGGGCAAGATGGTTGGGATCGTTATACTCGTCGTCGCAAATGGTGCCGCGACGCTGAACTCGTCGAGATACCACAAGCGACTGAAAACACGCCGGCTACGGCCAAGTCTAGTTTAACACAGGCGTTGGATAATGAGAGGGAGTCGGGGAACATTGACGCTTCAACAGTCGATACCGATGCCGTGAGTCTTGCCCCGTCAGCCTCCTCCAAGGCGCGGAAAAGACGTTGGTTCGGGGGTTCGAAACCTGTAAGCGACAAAGCCAGTAGCACTTCCTTTGCGCTACCAGTCTCCACCAATACATCCTCCGTGGACGCTGGAAAAATAACCTCTTCCACCAGTTACAACCCCTCGGGAACCCCCGGCTCGAGACCGATTGACATGGCGCACTCTCGGAAGCCATCGAACTATTCCGGCAACGCAAGTCATAGCAGTATGGGCCGAGACAGCAGTGTTGCGGGGAGTGTCTCGCATAGCGACAGTGCCAGCATTCGAGATAAGGAAATTGTCCACGCTCAAGATCGTCTAGACCGCTGGGGTACTCGAGCTACAGGTGGTATTGAGCGAGCGGAGCGAGAACTGGGGCTGGGTGACGAGGTCAATATGGGATTGAGTTAATCGTTCAGTCTCTTAGCCAGAGCAATCCACGAAAGAGACCGGGGACCGGGGAGTTTCATGGCGCAGTGTCAAGTGGCAGCCCTTTTTTCATCCAGTTTCTGGTTTTGACTCAGCAAATAGGGTTACTTTTCCGAGTGTATAATAACATTCAGAAGCATATATCAATGCCATCATCCAAGTTCCGAACAAAATCCGAGGATGCTTCAGATTCTTTTCAAGAATGGTTCTCGGACAAACATCCGGCAAAATGAGGATGGCCATTCACAATATATATATCGCCGATAGTTACACAAGTGTCGTAGCCTTTTGAGGGTAGTTTCCAATCATGTACATAATTTTCACAGAAGTGAGCTCTGGCATCGTCGGCATCGGCCAGTGTATGACTCGAGTCACAGCCAACCATGCAACCTGACCTTCATTTCTCACAACCTCAGTAATGCAGACTGCTAGGAGTTAGGCAATATGGGCCATTCGTGACTGTTGGACATCATCAGATGGACACTGTCAGTCACGTTAGGATTAAATCCCATTTTAGGTGTTCCAAAACGTCGAGCCAATGCAGCTTTTCTCCCGACCAGAGGATATTCAGTAGTTCCTTTGCGCGTTTAACATTCCCAATACCGAAATTAACTTCCAGTTGAGTCAACGATCGCATAATCAGTTCTCGGTCTATCGTCTCTCCGCACTCGCATCCTGTGATGAAGAGTGGAAAAGTAAGCGCGGAATACTCGCAGTGGTCGTCGAGTGGTGATGAACGAATAGTTCTGAGACAACGCTCTACTGCCCCCCGTTTTGATAATGATATGAATGAAGTCCAAATTGAGGATGCCCTTTGCGTGAGCCCCCGCATCATCCATTCTAGCGTGGAATGGAGATAAATGTATGCAGCGTTGCAGAAACATTCCGCTACCATGTGCAGACGGGTGAGGTTTTCTTCTGTGGTCCCCTTAGGTATAATGTACGATGGTAAATACTTTGTCCAATTACGAAGCGACTCGTCGCTGTACAGTATCAGCATGCGTTCAAACGTTTTGTAGGTGGGCTAGCACTGACATTGTATGAATCTCCAAGCCTAGGGCAACCGGGTCAGCGCAAAGAAGAGGCAGATCCGCAATCCTTGCACACAGCTTGATAATTCTCTCAGTGTAGCCGATGTATATGTCGAGTCTGGTAATCTCTGTATGATTTAGGTCCGACAAGGCCGCGGTAATCAGTCTAGGGTTCGTCAATTTTGCCAAATTTTGCCCGTATACAAAACTGAATTGAAAGTTAGCTCGGTCACTGCAATTAAGTGTCAAACTGCCATCATTACTTACAGTCCCCGCAGAAAATGAGCCGTGTCTTGACTGAGGGAGTCGAATCCACCGCGAGATAGTATCAGTTTTCCTAATGCGTGCAGATGCACCGTCCACTGCCTCACGCTTCCACGTACTACCTCAAATTTGCAAAGAAGAGCAACCGATAGAAGAGCGTCCTCGGGAAATTTATCGGCGGAACGCTCAGTAAGTGCGGTCCGAACGCCTCTCATTGTTTGAATGTAATAATCTGCTGCTGCAGTTTGGGCGTACAAGCTATCGCTTGTACGGTTCGCGAGATGTATGGCAGACAGCGCGCATAGAGCGTTCATTAGAAGGGGAGAGGAGTGGGCTCGAGGAATTAGCAATGATCGCAATGGATTCTCTTCATTTTCCAAGTTCACCAACAGTTTGGACCCTCGTTCCACATAATATTGGAGGTAAAGCGTCTCGAGGGCAGTCAAATGACTGATGTATCCAAAAGGCTTGGTGATCACACCAGACCTGCCATTGTGAGGAGCAGTAACAGACTTTTCGGTATCGGTTCCGTTGTCAGCGATCCTCCAGCCAACTTCCAACCAGCAGGTTTCATCGGCATCGTACTTCGACATAGATGAACATGATGTACTCAGAGAGTTTGAAGGAAACGAGGTCAAATTGGGAGATGGACGGTCTTGGGAGGATCCATCTGAACCAACGGACGTAGAATGAGAGCGACTAATTTTGCGTCGTTTTGATAGTCCAACTTGTTGAAAGACTTGTGCGCCTGGATCGAGAGGCTTTGCCCACACCGAGCCATATCCTTCGCAGCTGAGCCCTAACCTGGCGCAATTCTGGCAGCTAGTTTTAGGTATCAGTCACGCTGGTCACAAGTAATTGAGAAGAAGTTATTTGTTACCCAGGCTTAGCTTCATCACAGCGTTTTCGGCGCCTTTTGCAGGTCAGACAACCTGACCGGGTCCACTTCCCACCCTCCCTTCTGCGTCTCTTTCTCGACGGTATTGAGCTTTCGCTTCTCAGCGAGAACTCGTTATACGTGGTAGCAAATTGAGTCATTACAACGTGTACGAAAAAGGAGCAAGGCCAACAGGCAATACTGCGGCCTCGTATACTAAACCGATAAACGACTATCACGCTTATCAGACCGAGGTGCGGAGTAAGAGGAGTAATGAATGGTCACATCCACAGTTGAATTAACAGAATGCTGGTTTACTGTATCACCACATGAAAACATGGCAGAGATGCTCTTGAGCAAAAGATACATCGCGCAGGAACAATAAGGTCAATCTGCTGGTTGGTGAAGTCAATGGAGCAGGAGATGAGGAGAAGAGGCAAATTGTGCGCTAGTCCTGATATGGCAAGAGATACGCTGCACTATCTAATCGATATCATCAAATACTTCATGTTCCCCTCATCAACCATCATACGGATATCTTTCGACGGAGAAAGGTAGACGTCTATTTCAAATCAGACCTATGACCTCCAACAGTGATAGAGGTTATCTTTCTGCGAGGCTGAAAGCTCCCTTGATTATTAGTAATAGCTCTGGGCCCGCTTGCATCGTCGGCTACAATAGTTCAGTGAACAATGTTTTCTTTCGTCAGGGCTTGTTATCCAAATATTTGCTGACGGACATGTCAAACTATATCTCACATGCCGGTCTTGTCATGATCAATCTGAATCCGACTCTGGTCCTATACTTCTGTCTGTCATGTGCGCTCTGACTTCCGAAGCTCTAAGCTGTGCAACTACCTTAGTATCTACTGTTTATCTGGATCGCCATCGGAGGCCCCACCGAAAAGTGGTGGGAGCTTATCCCAAAATGGCATGTCCATCCAGAGCGTGGAGAAAGACTGGCACAAAGATTATATCCATTGATTTGCGGAGGGTAGGTATAGGCAAACCTTTCTTCACATACCTAATCCTACAACTGACAGGAAGAAGATAACAGTGGGTGGAGGTCAGCTCTGTGCACACTATAGGCACACTATATAAGCGCCGTCTCGTCTCTCTTTTCTCTCCAGCCCCTTCTTACACGCTCATCTCCAAACACGAGGGTTCTCAGTAATACATACCACCAACTGTGTAGTATACGGACCTGAGTCTCCGCAATATGCTGGCATCTCAGAGCTCTCCTTCGACCACCTCGGTCAACCTCCATCCCTTCGATCCAATTACTCCGGAAGAGATCAAACTTGCCGTTCGCATTCTCGAAGCTGCCTTTCCTGGGGTGCCTCTTCGCTATAAGCGGATTGATCTGCAGGAGCCCATCAAGAAAGATGTCATTGCGTATATCGAGGCAGAGAGATTACGGAAACCTTTGCCTCAGAAACCCCCTCGTCTTTTATTTTCCTACTTTCACCGTTTGGACAGCGGTGTCTTCCACAAGGCCCTGTTAAATGCTGAGAGCAAGTCGGTAATCCATATCAAGGAGCTCCCCGCATATGTGCAAGTGAGTAGATCATTCCTCTTTCCCTTTCCAGAATCCGCCTGTTTTGATAGCTGATTGCTTCACTATACAGGGACCTATTGATGTAGACGAGGTGACTGAGATTGAGGCACTCTGCATGCGGCACCCTGCGGTGCTTGCAGAAATCGAGAAACTCAAGCTACCGCCAGGAATGGCAGTCTGCAATGATCCGTGGATGTATGGCTCGGACAGTCCCAATGAAACGAGACGGCTCTTCCAATGCTTTATGTACATGGTTGAAGTGGACCACCCAGAGAACAACCATTACTCTTTACCATGCAAGTTCTCTCCCGTCTTCGATGCTATCACCCGGGAGCTGGTCCGCATGGACTATCTTCCTGGCGGCGCAGACACAAAAGTAATGGAGACACAACCGTGGAGACCTGTTAAAACAATTCAATATGCTCATGATCTTCTGGACGAGCCGCTGAGAAAAGACCTTAAACCCTACATCGTCCAGCAACCTGAGGGGGCATCCTTCTCAGTTGACGGTCACTTTGTGTACTGGCAGAAATGGCGATTCAGAGTCGGCTTCAACAACCGGGAGGGACTGGTGCTCTACAATATCACATACGACAATCGCAACGTCTTCTACCGGCTTTCGGTCTCAGAGATGACGGTTCCATACGGAGGTGAGCTGATCATGACACCAAGATTAAGAGCACTTTACTGATCATCCGGATGGCATCAGATCCTCGGGCCCCTTATCACCGGAAACAGGCCTTTGATGTGGGAGATGTTGGCTTCGGTCTCAATGCTAACCAGTTGACGCTTGGATGTGATTGCTTGGGTCACATAAAATATTTTGACGGCTATCGAACGGATTCAAAAGGTAATCCAGTCCATTTGAAAAACATCATTTGCATGCATGAGCAGGACAATGGTCTACAACACAAACACACCAACTACCGATCGGGCGCTGCGACTGTGGTGCGAAACCGCCAGCTGGTCCTTCAGATGATTTGCACTGTTGCAAATTATGAGTACATCTTTGCATACATCTTTGACCAGGCTGCCAATGTTGAACTTGAGGTCCGAGCCACCGGCATCTTATCAACCGTTCCCTTTGACAATGAGAATGGCGAAACAGTTGCTTGGGGCACCAACGTTGGTCCCGGAGTCATGGCTCCTTTCCATCAACATATGTTTTCTCTGCGCATTGATCCGGCCATAGATGGGTTCAAGAATACCGTCTACTATGAGGACAGCGTACCACTCCCTGAAGACGAGAAGAATCCTTACCTTGTTGGCTATACTACTGAGCAGACGGTCGTCCGGAAGTCCGGCTCAGCCAATACTGACATTAACCGCCACCGAGTATTCAAGATCCGCAACGATAATATCATCAACCCGGTGACCTATAAACCTGTGGCATACAAACTCCAAACGGCACCCAGCCAGATGCTCCTATTGAGCAAAAACGCAATGGGTTACCGACGGGCCGAGTTCGCCAGTAAACCCATCTGGGTCACCAAGTACAACGACGACGAGCTGTACGCCGCAGGCGAGTTCACCAACCAGAGTAGACGAGCGGAAGGCGTTGAGACCTGGGTACAAAGGAACGACTCGACAGAGAACGAAGATGTGGTTCTATGGCATAGTAAGTTTCCTCGAACCCTATGGGTCTCACAGCCAGGACTGACCAGTTCGGCAGCGTTCGGTCTCACCCATAACCCCCGTGTCGAAGACTTCCCCGTCATGCCTATGGAGCGAATCAGCGTCATGCTCAAACCCGACGGTTTCTTCACGAAAAATCCGGCCCTGGATGTGCCCCCGTCCACTCAGTCATTCAACAAATCCACCCTGCATCCTGAGCCCGCTCCCGTTGCAGCATGCTGCTCCACCGGGGGTGCTAGTACTAAGGCGAAGCTTTACAAGCGCATTGAATAGTTCCATCAATAATCGGGCTGGTTGCTTGATGCCTGGCACTCGGATTCGGCGCTTGGGATGGTTAGATGTAGCATTCAACTGGTGTTGACATGGTTGATTAGCGTCTGGTTCAGAAATTCTCATACAACTCATTTAGTTTGTCAAAGCCTTCAAGAAGCTATTTCGAGATCTTTCTACTGAGAGTAAAAGAGAGATGAGAAGCAAGGTCGAGACTATCACGCATCATGACATCTATTTTTCATTACCATGTGTCTTCTGACATTAGACATACACAGCTCTCTCGCTCGTCCGAGACCGAAAGAGTTATATAGATCGGATCCATCGTACATCAGACAGTTGCCGTTGCGATCATACATTTTCTGCCATACCTTCATCGAGGCCACTCACTCCGACTCATGCTTCCCACCGGTCCTGTATCACCTTTCGGAAAGCCAGCTTCCTCCCTGGTCGCCTTCCTTCCTCCCATAACATGGGCACGTGATATAATCTCAACCATATGACATCATGTTCCCCGACGCCAATATTCGCAGCGGACAATTCGTGATTTACTCCTTGTTAACGGTGGCGACATGGGCCTTGGGGAGAACGCCGTGGCCTACGTTGTCGATGGCAGCCTGGCGGGCGCCCTTCAGGCCGTACTGGGAGTCAATGCCCTCAATACGGTGGGTGGAATTGATGTTCTTGACCATGGTGAGCTGCCAACAGGTAGCGCTTCCCTGGCGGGAGATGATGGTCGAGTAGGCCAGGAAGTACTCCCAAATCTAAGGAACGGAAAGTCCTCCAGTCAGCCGTGCTCAATGTGTATAATGAATTCGTCAAATGGACTTACTCTAAACCATCTCTTGCCGTACTTGGCCTCGACCTTCTCGCGGTTACCCATCCAGTTGCGGTACCAGCGCCAAAGAGTAGCAGAGTAGTGGACACCAACAGTGTCAACGCCCTTGATTTCAAAACCAGCGCCCTCCAATTTATCGACGACGAATCCAAGAGGAGTGCTGGCATCAGCTCCGGGGAAGATGTACTTGTTCATAAACAGACCCCAGATGAGATCCTCATACTGCCAGGACTTACGGAGACCCGCGATCTGGAGGAAGAACACACCATCATCATCAAGCATGTCATAGACCTGAGACAGGAAGGAACCGAAGTGGCGGACACCGACGTGCTCTGCCATCTCAAGACAAGTGATCTTCTTGTAACCGCCCTCAACACGGGGAGCATCACGGTAGTCCAAGCAGAGAATACGGCTCTGAGATTCAGGGATACCAGCGTTGCGGAGACCCTTGTTCCCCCAGGCAGTTTGGTTACGACCAAGAGTGATACCGGTGACGTGTGCGCCATAATGGACTGAAGCAAATTTGGCGAGAGTACCCCAGCCACAACCCAGGTCGAGAAGAGTGTCACCGGGCTTAACATTAATCTTCTCACAGACAACAGCTAGCTTGTTGTCCTGGAGTTCTTCCAAAGTCTCTTCTTTGTTAATATCACTAATGATGCCCGAGGTATAGATCATCCGAGGGCCCAAGAACCAAGCGTAGAAGTCGTCACCACGGTCATAGTGGTCGCGCACCTGTTCCTCGTCTGCAGATCATTTTAGTCAGAAACCATGAACTTCATTCATCTGTGCAGAATAACCATGGGAATGCCACTTTACCTTGAGAACGGGAGTGGACCAGCAGTTCAGGGATGAAGCCGAAGAGGAAGTGCTTGTAGAGGCCCATGGTGAAGCGGAAGTTAGCCCAGTCGTGTCTGAACTCCAAAGCTTCAAGAGCGTCGCCCTTGAAATCAACCTCTCCATTGAAGTACTTTTCGTAGAAGACCTCCATGGGAATCTTGCTCTTGCCGCGGTAAGTGGCACGGTCATGCTCGCTGTGGAAGTGAAGGTAGTGCTCGACGGGGCGACCAGCATACTTGGCCTTCTCATTCTTGCGGGGAGAAATGGAAGAAGCGACGGACCAGAAGGCCATCAGGATGGGGACGGTGGTAAAGATCGCAAAGAAGATAGTGGTGTAGAAACCACCACCGACCTGGCGGGCCAAGTACCACGGAACAAACAGCAGCAGAGAGAAAAGCAGGATGTTGGAGAAACTATCGCTGCCTGCAGCGTCTGCGGGGACGGGAGCATTTTTGATAGCCGGGTACTAAAAGCGTGAAAGAGAACGTAATTAGCCCATTGCCTGTCATGGAGACGCTCCATAGAGCTCCAAAAGAGCTTCGATGAGCCCGGGCAAATTGGGCTCAATTGAGCGCCTCAACTTACCGATGTCGTCCGCACACCGCAATCGTCTGCGGGGGTAGTGCAAGAAGCAGGAGGTGTTTCAATGTACTCGAAGTCCTCAGGGGACTCGGGGTGAATTTTCGTCATGGCTGGCTCGACGATTTCGCGGAGGGATTGAGTGGGAGGAAAGGAGACCAAGGCAGGTCAGTGTCACAAATCACGACAGATGTTCTGTCGTGATAGAAAGGGAAAAAGATAGATGGAAAGGGGGGGAAGGAAGAAGCCACAAGGGCAGGAAAGAAAACAGATCAACAACAATTGATGTTTGATGGAGAACAGGAGCAGTCGGGTTGGTTTATCGGTGATGAGGAATTGACGCGGCGCCAACAAGCCTAGTTGGTCTTTAGGTTCCTACCTTAGCAAGTTCGCAGCAGTACTAGTACTAGTGGACCTGACGAGCTTGGCTCTCGAGTCCCTGCTCGAATTGATTATTATTATTATTAGTAGCTCTCTACCTCCCTAGCTGGTACGTACGTATCAAAAATTCAAGTGGAACCACACGCGGGATTGGTTGTTTCTCCTGAATGGGCGGCGGTGAGCATATGTATACTCCGTACCAGAAGATTATTATTATATTCTCTAGCATGAAGAATCGGCAGCAGGGCAATAGATATTAGTATACTGTAGTATACAGTAGTCCCAGGAACTGAAACTGAAAGTCAATCGCATTGTCATATGCGAGTAAAAGCTGGCAATGATCATGCTGTCTGCCCCTCCGTCGTGGCATAAATTACTCAATAATACTGGGTAGCACGGCTGTGTAACCAGTCGATTTACTCTAGCAATCCGCAACGATCCCCTGGGCCCTAGACAGAGCCACTGTGCAAGATAATACTGACAATACCAAGTCCCCTCTCCTGACATTGTTAGCAACCGTTTTAAAGCTCGATTCATGTGCCGTACTACATGTAGTATTATCAAGACCATATCTGAGGAGTCCTCGGATGCCGAGAACCCTGGATCTTCCGTCGCTCAATCCACCCAAGGTTGCAGCCAGACCCTGAAACGCGGCAATCTGCGTGAGTGCGTGTCCCAAATCTCCCAATCCCCTTGGCTAATAATATGATTATGCTCTCATAGGATTCATTTCCCAGGCCACTAAGTTCCGAACCGATCACCTAGGCCAGTTCGATCCTGAATGCTTCACGACAAGTTGACCACATTCGTGCTTACGACGTCCTTCATCCAGCTAACAGATCCTGAAATAGGTAGTTGTTCTGCAAATATGAATGATCGAATTGCTACCTCCTACAGTTGGAAGACTATCCCTAAAAAAGGAGCTAAATCATACAAGATACCGGCTGTGAATCGTGAAGCCTCGTAGTGTTATCAATACGCAAAAAGCAAAGGTCAAGAACGCCGCTTCCGTCCCAGCCGGTTTGCCCTACTGTAATCTTGCCATTCATTCATGCACGCCGACCATCCCAATCCCTGAAAAGTGAAGACGAGTAGAAAAGTAAAAGACTTCCTTCAAATACTCCTGAACCATGACTCTAGGGTACGTTTGGCGTTGTCCAAACTTAAAGTGTGAGCTGGAAATTCTGCGCCTCTTCATCTTCCCCAAAGGTCGGGAGATTTCTTTCCGCTTTGGCCGCCAGTCGATCCTCCTCACTATCAAAACAGCCTGCAGCCTTGCAGCGGTACCACATCTCCGAGCCCAGCGGAGGCATCCCGTACAATTCGATGTATGTTTCAGGCGACAGGACCGACCTCTCCGGAGTAGTTGACGGCTTTCCATGCAATCTGGAGGACACAGTACGGCCCTTTGAATAGCCCAGGGTCGTCTTGGAGTTGGCAGTGGCCGCAGCGTGACGCATGGAGGACAGATTGCTCGGCACTCGGGGCCTCCTAGATGTCAAGAGAGATGATGCGACTCTGGGTTTCGGCTTTGACATCGCGGCTGGTCTCGCTCGTGCACCCGAGGGCTCAACCCTGGACAGTGCGGCAACTGCATTGTGAGCACGGACAGTAGAGATATTGCTGGTATACTTGGGCTTCGTCATAGTCGATTTAGCACGGCGCATTTCGAGGCGTCGTTTAGGTACCTCTTCCACATGAGGCTCGCTGGGAGGGTCCAATTCCGTCTTGTCCTCGAATCCAATCTCTTCAAGCTGCTTCAAGATCATTTCGTCCACCTTTTTATCGAACGCAATTGAGTCCTCCTGGAATTTGCGCTGTCGTTTGGTAAGACCATCCTCTCCGACTTGATTGTCTCCGTACACACTTTCCAATCCCAAGGCCAAATTCTTGGGTTGAAACTGAGGAAACGTCGTGTCATACGTAATGTCGTCAGGGATGTCCGGGAGCTCTACAAGAATGTTAGAGAAGGGAAAACCTCTCCGAGTCAAGGCCGGTACGAGACCCATGTGCATCTCACCTTTCGGTTTGGGGGGCATATATTCAATATCGGGCACGTCATCCTGGCTCTCTTCACCCTGTACCTCAATCTTGGGCTGGTCAACTAGTGGCGAGAATTTCCTGATCTTTTGGGTAGAGGCTCTCTTGTTCGTCTTCTCTGGCTTGATAGTGCCTGCCGGCGCTGCTGGTGTCTGTAAGCCTTTCGCCTTTGCATTGGTCGTTTTCATGCCAAGAGGTGCACGATTTCGAGGTTCTATTGCCAGTGTTTCGTTAGCCTTCTCGATCCTCTCGCTTGGGTCTCTCTCCTGCATACCCAGCGGAGTGACAAAGGCATCCTTGGCGGGTTTCGTGTTCGCCTTTTGCTTTCCAGCAGCCTTTACTGTTTTCTTTCCAAACGCCAAAGGATCATTTTCATCGTTCAAAGGCACTTTAAAGGGCGTTTTCGGTGCGCGGGCTCCCGGGGTTCGCGGTTGCAACTGCTTCACGCCATGGTTCAAGGGTTTAGCTGCAGCGACAGTCTGGTGAGTATGCACCAGGTTTTCCTGGTCACGAAGAGCCAGCATGGCAATGTATGGTTTTCAATGATACTCATTCAAGTCGGAATGGGCGTATATGCGTCGTGGTGATCATAAGTCGCTAGCTAAAGTAGTCTAAGGCAAGGTAGTTCTAGATGCAGGACGCATCTAGTTGTTTTTTCTTGGCGGTTGCCCGTGGAGACGAGAGCGGCTTTCCCTGGGACAATTCGGAAGGCACCTTTGGGTAATGGCAGGTGGCCTGAGTGCCTCAGGCCGACAAAAGTTAATATGTGCCACTAGGCCCACTAAGGCCCCCTTGCGCCTCTGGCTGTCAAAGCCACAGAACATCAATAATACATAGAAAACAGGGGCTAGTCTATTTTTGGCTAGGTGTTTTGTTGGCTGACCGCCAAACGGGTAAAGGAGGTCCTCCACTTCTTAGGCCTTACTATTCCTCTCTCGTGATCTCCAATTCCCAAACCACATCCCTCCAACTCGTACCTCCTTGTTGTCCACTTTCCCACCTGGTTTCTCGCTGAGCGAAAGCCTTTCTGCCTTGAAACCCACTCTACTTTCTCTGATACATAGATTTTGTCGTTGCAAATCAGCATTTCGTTGCCAAAATGGATAAGATCAAGGAGGTAAGCTTCTCCCCTGATCCCTTTCGGCGGGGTAGCTTGAAAGCTGTTGAGAAACGGAAATGTACCACTTTCCGCCCTTGCTTCATGTACCCTATCTAGGGACAGATCTTCTTTGAGTGGAGCACAGGACGAGCAAATACTATAGTTCTGAATAAATGATATTTTAACGGAAGGGTTGAGACTGACCCGACGATGTTTCTTCTAGAGAATGAACGCCCTCCGCCTCGAGGCTGATGAGGCCCAGAACAAAGTGGAAGAGCTCAAGGCTAAAGTGAAGACTCTGGAGCAAGAGAATTTGGCAAAGGAGCAGGAGATCACATCTCTCAACCACCGGAACCAGCTTTTGGAGGGTGAGGTCGAGAAGCTCGAGGCTGCGCTTAAGGAGGCCAAGGAGTCTGCCAACCAGAGTGCTCAGCACGACACTCAGAACGAGGCCCTTCAGAGGCGGGTGCAGTTGCTAGAAGAAGAGGCCGAGGAAGCTGACCGGAATTTGCGGGAGACAAACGAGAAGTATGACTTGGCCTAATCCTGCCATATTCACTAAAGGTCGATTTTGCTGACTCTGGGATGCTAGACTTCGCCAAACCGACGTTAAGGCTGGGCATTACGAACGCAAGGTGCAGGCTCTGGAAGCCTCTCGTGATCAGTGGGAGAGCAAGTATGAGGAGATGGCCAAGAAATATGCTGAGTTGCAGAAGGATCTCCACGACCTGGAGGTCTCTATCAGCAACGTGTAAAGATAATCTCGCACAGCGGCGTACACTCGGAAAGATATTGGATCCAGCCTTTGTTCCAACGGATATCAGCTTTATTCGCAAATCACAGCCTTCCTTGCTATTCTCTTTCTCGGCAGGAAACAATTTAATGGGTTCTCTTTCGCCGTTATCATCTCATGCTGGAGATCGGCTCGTCTTTGCAGCTTGGACCCTTTCCTGTCCTTTACATATATTCATTGTTTGAGGTACATAGAGCATATTTAATGGAAGTGTGATATCTTAGGTTTGCTCGAAGCGTTCTTTAACGAATCTAACTCGGGAATCACTATTCTCGTTCTCGTCGAGCCTTGGCCTTTCTCGATTTGGCTTGCCGCTGCTTCATAAGAGTAACTTTGCGCTCCTCCTTACTTTCGTATCGGAACTTCTTTTTCTTCTTTTTCGGCTTGTTGTTCTCCTTCGTTTTCTTCTCGGCTGATTTTGTGGTTGTGGATTTGACATCGGCTTCCGACCTTCGTTTCGTTTGCTCGTCCTCATCCTCGTCTGCCTTGTCGCCCTCCTCCGCCCTGAGTAAGCCTTCTCTGGAGGCATCCATCTCTTCGACAGTAACGGTGGTATATTTGTCTTCATCGATATATTCGGCTTCGTAGTCAACTGCAGGAGGCTCAGCGAATCCTTCCCATTCATCCTGCTCGTCTACATCCCCATTGCTGGAATTTGTTTCTTCGTCACTGTCGCCATTTTGTTTCCTCAGCATTTCGAGCTGCCTCCGATGCTCTTCAAGTGCCCGCTCATATTCTGTGGCTCTCTCTTCACGGATCTGGATTGAGTCAAGTCAGCATGCTTTCACTCATCATCCAGGCCGTGGGACCAATGAGTACAAACCTTCTTCCGTTCTAGCCTTTTCTCCTCTCGGGCTCTCTTTGCTGCAAGTTCCTGTGCATGCCGTATCCGCTGCTGTTTTCTCTTTCGAAATCCTGTGAGGAATTCCTGCCGATCGGCAGGGTCGAAATTGATCTCTTCGACCTTGGGGGTCAACTTGCGTTTTTTGGCTTGTGGCCCCATTTTCCCTGCGTAGTGTGATGGTTGGTCTTAAGAAAATCAATTAAAGCGATAGTAATACTCTATATTCAATTAATTCCAATCTCATAACAATTTTGGTCCATATAAAAAAAAAAAAGGACTGAAAAGAAAAACGTTGCTGATATGGTTATTGCGGCCGATAAAACTAAACCTTGTCTAGTCGGTGGTTGGCTCGACCGCCTCCGAGCTCGTCGGCCAAGCCTCCAGGTTGGCTCTACTGAAGCAACATCATCCTCAGCCTGCATTCTGCTCGCTTGCAATCAGTCAGATCACCACAATGCGCTTAGGAAGACTTACGCTGCTTGCTCTTGGGGCAGCGAGTGCAAATGCATTCCGGGATACATCTCCGTTCTTCCTAGCTTCTACGTCCGAGTACGTTGTCCAGGAGCTACTTGAGCTTCGGAGTCGCGGGCCATACATACCTGCATCCAGCTAACAAGCTCCTTCTAGGATACTCGCTACTTCATCAAATATCAAGGCCGCCACCGGTGTATTGGAGGATCTTAGTTCACAACTGAGCACCTGTCCTTCGGATTACTATGTTATTGCGTCTCAGCCTGGTGTGCACAGCAGCGATTTCGCGACTCGCAAGTCCGCGCCCCGCCTGGGCGCAAAGCTGACCGGGAAGGACAAAGCAATCAGATCCAGTATGATTGTCAAGGAGGTTGCAGGTGTTTTGGAGGCAAAGCGGATCCAAAGTATTATCGAAAAGGAATGCGGGGCACAGTCTACTTTGATCGATGCATCTGGTGAGTTCGAGAGGCTTATAAGCTTTAAGAGGTCGAAACTGACAAGACTATATAGCGAGTTCTTATCCTTCCGAGTTCGGGGCGGAACCTCGCATCATCTATGTGGACTTTCCTATGCTCTCGCTGGGAGCCGATCGAGCCCAGCAACTTTCAGACAACGGTTTGTGATCGAATGCATCATATTCTGACATTGCATGTTCGTTCTGACGGATGACAAAGATGGCCTCCTTGCCGATATCATTGACCGAATCCCTTCTTCGAAGAAGTATACGCTTCTCTACGTGACATCGCCGAGGGAGTTTGAAGGATCCGAGGGTGTCGTTTATAAAGCTGAGGACAGTTATCAGGACCCTCTTCGCATGGAGCTGAAGCGGGACTACTCAGCCCACGGAAGTCAAAGTACTCCTGCATCTAACAAATCTCTTTTTCGAGAGTACCAATACCTTACCCCAGGTACGATCTCTGAAGGTTTTCCGCAACGTTCATATGTAGTGACTGACCGCTTCTAGGTCTCTTTATGGGCTTTCTTGCAGCCTTTTTCTTCCTGATGATCTTATACGTTGGTATTCGAGCTCTTACGAGTCTTGAAGTTCCCTATGCGGCATTTGAAAAGGATACGTCCGCCAGCGTGCAGAAGAAACAGCAATGATCACTAGTTGGGATTATTTGATTATTACCATTGCAGCGAACATATTATTGGCTATCATTGTCTCTTATACCATATTTGCAGTAACTGCGCAATGTCCAACCGAGAGCCAACCCAGCATGCTGTATCAAGGCAACTGGCCTTTATATCATGTATATTTGTCGTGTCAATTTCATTTGGAGTATCATCAAGATGGGTCACACCTGAATCCGGCTCTCACGAAGCATGGATACACATGGAGAAAGGCTTCATCGAATTTGAATAAGCGAAATAGAAGATAAGAAGAGGAGGACAGTACTTTAATGCCTATATATAGAAATCACGTGGGTTACTCCGCCTCCACAGCCTCGACTTTGGCGCCTGAGGCAGAAGCCAGGCACGGGGTCAACAACCAGCCAGCGAGGGCGCATCGATAATTTACGGTGGTAGTGAGACTAACCAAAGCCTCAATTCCATCGAAGTTTCTGAGCTGCATTTCTGCAGCTGTCCCTCGCTCTTCGTTGCTTTTCAATATTCAGTGTCTTCCTGGCCTTTTTCTCACTCAACGAGCGTTGTCGCAGAGTTGAATTGTTTGGCTCCAGAACACTGGTACAGACTTGCACCCTAAGGCCTGCTGGAGAGAACTGCACCTCCCCTTGAGGGATTGATTACATTTGTTTATGATCGCGCGTGCGACAGACTCTATCAATGTGCTGAACGACGTGATCCATTGGTCGGAATTCATACTCCTCGTCTGAAAGGAAACGTTCACATACTTGCGCTTGAACGACTGCTTAACCCCTCCGATGATGAGATTCCTCAATGTGGGGCGTGCAAAGCCCCATCAGCGCTCCGTTACGTTGCTTCTATTTCTCCTGATCGTCTTGTTGGCTCAACTGGCCTCTGCCCAACAGGATCCCAATACCGACGTTGCTGCAACTACTGCGCAGACGACCGAGGGCACGAAGGCCACAGATCCAGCGACTACAAACGCGGGGAAGACCACCGATTCGAAATCGACGACTGATGCCACAACTACAGATGCGACAACTACAGAAGCTTCGACGAGTAGTAAAACCTCAACCACGGAGGCTTCTACAACTACCGATTCAGCGACTTCTACCACCGACTTAGCGGGCTCGACTGCAACATCTGCAACCTCTACAGACGGCTTCCCTGTGGTGACCGTGCCACCGACAGCGGATGCGCCGTACATGCAAAAGTCGAACACGCCCGAAGGGACAGTTTTTATTGCTGTAGGTGCAGCCCTAGGTTTCATTGGGCTCGCGGTGCTGGCATGGCGTGGGCTCGTCGCATGGTCGGTCAACCGATCCGTCCGCCGCGCCGCGTTGATGCACGCCTCAGAAAAGAAAGGACTCCTTCGGTCCAAGAGGAAGAGGTCATCAAGGCATTCCCGCGCTGTACCTGCGAGCATGTCACTTGAAAAGCTACCCCCACACCACCGCAGCAGCTACAATCCAAGAGCATCCAATATCCCCAGTACCGGTAGCGGTCTTTTCTTCTCTCCGACCGCTGGCGCCGGAATGCATACAAGCGGAAACAGAGGATCTAGCTACCTTCCGGCGGGCTACTATGCTGCAGGAAACGCTGCGCCCACGGGGAGTCAGAACATCCCATACTCGATGCCAGAAATGCGACCCCACTCGCAGGGCTACATTCGCACCAAATCTAATCCGAGCCCTCCTAGGTCGCCGGGTCTATCGCCTGGCGGTCTACATGACACTCACTACGATCCTCCCACCAGGCATTCGTATGTCGCAGGCTCTACCAGCTCGTTGAATCTTGCCTCTCCTACCCATGGACGAACTCCCAGTGCTTTCCTGGAGGACCTTTTTGAAAGCCATGCCCCTCAATCGGACAACGGTCATAGATGATTGGACTTTCAACGGGCGTCGAAACATGCATTGTTTTTTTCATATTTTCTTTCCATTTTCATATTTCCCTATCTCGGGTTCACAACTTTCGAGCCATACATACAGGATCTCGTTTAACATATACTTAAGTTAATATTCATGTCTCTATACAAGTCACATGGCCATGCTCGTGGCATCTTATCTCCTGTTTGATTCTGACAAAGAGTTGACTGCAGATTGGCTGAGTCAAGACGGACAGGGCTGTGATTGATTATGTACATTCTCATTTTCCTTCTCAATGGTTGATACTAGCCTTCTGTTAATGATAAGCCTGATAATTGTCTATATGCTCGCTGTGTATTATTGCAGACCAGGAAAAAGACGCGGAAGAGGACAACTCCAGAACGCTCGGATATATGATACATACCAACAGGCTTGCGACGTCAGTATTTACAAGCAAAGAAGCTGCCAAAAGCGGACATAATTCAATACCAAGATGAAGCAAGGAGCGAAATGTTGGAACGACAGGGTAGGAAAAGGGCTCAAGCAGATAAAGATTAAAGACGCGAGCGAAGCCTTGGAACAACATACAACCCGGAAAGTATGTAAAGCGCGCATCGGTCTATCTTGGGGAAGTGTCATGTCATTGATAGGAGGTAACTGTGAAGACCTGCGGAATTGTTTCAGTCGGAGTCCAGTTTGCGGTTGAACTCGCCGAGAAGGATGTCGCCCATGACTGGATCACGACTGTTTCTTACTGCAGATTCCGAATTAGCATCGAGCGAGCACAGAATTGGAGATGATGACTTACTCATTTCTGCTTCTGCTCGGAAAAAGACCCACATCCATCTTCTGGCGACTTCCAAGGCCATGAGTAGGAAGATGCCACACTCCTTCTCGGTAAGCCAGACAAAACCCGGTAAGAACCGAGTGACCCAGGAAAATCGAATGAGTAGGTCAGCAAGAATTGCGGCATAGTAGAGCCGATCAGCGAAGAATCGATGGCGGCGCAGGCCATAAGGACAGTCCGGATCGGCGCGAGAAGAAGTGAAGAGAGTCAAATCCCAATCCTTGCTTATGTCCCAGTAAAAGGAGTAGGTAGAGTTGATGAAAGTGAAGAAGGTGCTGAGATACAAACAATTGTTAGTTGCGATCTCTTCCGATCTAAGCATAGAGAGTTGGGTTATACATACAGCAGCCGGGAAACGCTCATTTCGCTGAACCCATAGAACTCCAAAGGATTGTAATTCCTAAGCTTGGCCGCAAGAATAATAACCGGGAATGCAGTGGCATATTTCAAAGCGTTTGCCAGGTGCTGTGTTCCTTTATTTTCCCCTATTTGATCCGTCCGGTGCACACGAAGATATTCAGTTAGACACTGCCGCAGTCGGATCATGCTGGGGAGAGCGATGATGATGGGGACCACATAATCGTTTCCGCAACTGCGATTCGGTTTCGAGGTGCTTGAAATATCCGGAGTGAAGAACATGCAGAATGTAACATAGAGGTCCCCCAAGATTTTGGCGTAGCTGGTAAGAGCATCTGCCAGCAGTATGTCTCCAAATTTACCATCCTGAGGCTGCGCCAATCCTCCTACACTAATGCGCCGCAAAGACCTAAGAAACCGACTTCGTCCAGACCGTGACAAACGGTTGACGGGCAGAACGAGTAGAATGAGGAATATAAATAGATACGACTGCGGAATGAAGTCTAATGACTCCACTCGCTCAGCTGAGCCGTGGGTAAACACCCAGAAGATAAGGAGGGAGAACAGGAGAGGGGCGGTCAAAAGGGTAGCGAGCCGGTAAGTAGAAGTATGGTGAGGAGGTTGTTGAGGAGTTTGACGGGCGGGATAACGGATGAGGGCCGGTAAATCCTAGAGAGAGTAAGCATATGATTCCGTACGAGATTCTCTGTATTTGAGGGAATGGAGGGGACAACTCACAATATTCGCCCGAGAGAGATATTGAAGGTTGGCACCCCAACCCCAGAATCCTAAGCCACGGATATTAATATTACATATGATAATTGACCGATAGGAGAGCGAAATACGCACCAGCAACCAGTATTACTGCAACCCGATAGGGGAAAGGGAGGAAAAGACTGAAGCCGTCAAGTTGAGCATGTTGATCAGGACCCATATTCCATCGAAAAAGCGGCCCTGCGAATCAGCACCTAAATAGGAGTTACAACAAGGCGAGGGTGAGAAGAACAAGCCGGATGTGATGGAGAAGACTTGTTTCCAATCGAACAAGAGAACCAAGCGCTAGAATTGAAGCAAAAGAGTGACTAGGGGTGAGAAACTACTGCCAAAAATTAATCGTCATGGGCTGGACTAGACCTTTGTAGATTAATTGATGCAGAAGCTCAGGGACAGACGACGGCTTCGGCGGCTCCGCGCGGCTTCTAGTTTCGGAAGCGCCAGTCCTTCGTAGGCTTAGTGTGATGTCTGCAGAGTCGTGAAATCCAAAAATGGAATCTCCTGCCCCACGTGAGCTGGAGATAACGTGATAAGAGTCACGTGGGAATTACCGAGGCATTTCGTACTCATCCCCGAGTTGCGGTCGTACCGGGGAGCTCTCCGCTATGGGGAAGATATGAAGCACAATTGCCAGCAAATATCACGATGTCACTTGCCTGACTAATTCCTTAACTGTGATTATCTCGTTTCTTTGCCCCTTCTCTACAACTTTCAGGATTCAATATGGCAGACGAAGATCTCAAACTCTCCTTACCTACTCCCACATCTCCGCCGAGTCTGAGCTCCTCCGCCCATTTCTACCCCTTCGCAACGTCACCGGATATTATCCGCTCCCATGAAAAGGACGTATTCCTAACTTCCAGTCTGGTCAACCAGGCACAAGCGATTATCCGTTCTCTCCGTGGCGCACGCTTTGCTCATATCCACTCAGACGCCATCAAACACCTGACCGAAATTCTATACTTCTCTCTGACGACGTTAATTGGCAATCGGACTCTGGGAGAGGAGTATTGCGACCTCGTGCAACTGGAAGATGATACACTGCAGCTCCCCGCGATTCACCGAAGAGCGGGTTACATTCTGAGTAGCATCCTAGTACCGTGGGCGCTTCAGCGGATTCTCCCCGGGTTTCGCCAGCGACTGCGCGCGAAATTGGAGCGTAGCATCGCCCGGCAACAACTGAAAGCGCAGCAGAAAGCAGAAGAATTAAGATTTACCAAGGAAAATGCTTCGAAGAAGCAGTCTTTCTTCACCGCACTTCGAGTCCAGAAGTACATTCTCGAGCATCTCGACTCGATCACCTCGCTTTCACCTATTTACGCCCTAAGTATAGCAACCTTTTATTTCACTGGCTCCTATTACCATTTGTCGAAACGCTTCTGGGGACTGCGATACGTGTTCACGAAGAAACTCGAGGAAAATGAACAGAGAGTAGGGTACGAGGTCTTGGGGGTTTTGCTTGTCCTTCAGATCGCGGTACAAGGCATTCTGCATATTCGAAAACTCGGCCTTAGTATGCAACAAGAGGGAGAGGGTATTGAGACCGAAGTGGCTCGTTCCAAGACACAAGACGACTCCTTGATCCGCTCCATTCAGAACCCTTACAACCTTCCGCTTCTTCCTGCTTCTACAGCTCGATATGATCTTTCAGAAGATTCGAATGTCATTCCGTGGATTCCTTCCGGGCAACAGAGCAAGTGCACGCTTTGTCTGGAATTATACAAAGATCCCAGTGTCACAACATGTGGACATGTCTTCTGTTGGACGTGTATTCGCGATTGGGTACGCGAGAAACCCGAGTGTCCACTCTGTCGACAAGAGGTAATACCATCTAAGGTCCTGCCGCTGAGGGGGTGAATTAATGTACATTCATTATGAGCATATCAATGTTCGGTGCAGGGTGTCAATTCGCCCGCATCTCATCAAGCCTCGATATTATGGCTTCTTGGCAAGTTGACGGGGTTGACCAGCTTGTGATATATACCCACTGCTAGTTTTTTGTATGATAATCTCAAAATTTCGATTCAAGCGAAATCAATGGCACTTGCAAAGTCTCGCTCATTTGCGTATACATAGCTTGCTTGGCCTGGTAAAAGATGACCGGAAACTGGAAACGCAGTTTCTATTATGCAATGACGCTGAATGCTACACAGGGGTATTTTTCCAACACAAAATCATATCAACAGACTACCTGAAATAATGTCGGACACCAGGTTTCAGAAATTCACATGGTGCGTGCGGAGGGTGTTATTTTAGAAGCATCGTCCTCGGTCTCAAGACGCACTGCCGGCTTGATGAACTGAGATTCAACCGGTTTGTTGTTGGTTGTTTCAACATCAAGCTCTTCTACTAGGCGAATCGGCTGGTCCAGCTCAGCATGTGCTGGTAAAGGGGGCATCGGAGTCAAGGCCCTGCGCTTGGCGTCCATAGTATTGAAAAGACACAGACATGCATACGAGTCGGTTGCAGCATCTATAGAGAGAGCCATTAGTACTCTCGAAACAAAATCAGGTTCAAGAGAACTCACACTGAACTTGACGGTAGTTTAGTGCAGTGGTCCAATCACCGCATCGGACATCATCATCCTTTGCTAGAGGTAGACCAAAGTGCTCTTCGACCTGCTCGCTTAGATTGACAGGTCTTCTGTTGATGAGAGCTGGATCTGACTGGCAGTACTTGACCAACTTGTACAGGTGACTGAGTTCGAAAATCCCACGAACATTGATGCCGAGAAAGTTCTTTAGTCGCGTACAGTCCGCCTTAATCGCTACTCCAGCCTTCGTAATTTTTGGTGATTCAAGAATGTTTCGTAGAGAAGGCGAAATGAAGTCTTCCGGTGTTCTCGCGGGTTTGAACAGTGCAATTTGGAAGAGGGCAATTCGCTCCGCATTTGCAATCTGTATCAACGAGACGTTGTTCTGAATGCTGGCAGATCTGCTTGACTGCGGTTTCCATTCCATGTCAAAACCTATTACATCATCTTTCAAGAAGTATTTTGCTACCTCCTCAGTCTTTTTAAGGGACTTGCAATAGTGCACGATGATGTCTTTCCCGTTGGGAGCCTTACGCAGCCGGTGGCTCCAGAACTTGGGGCCCGGAGGAATGGTTAACGCAAGAGACTGTTGCGCAACGAGGAACTTCTCGCATACTGCTGTCTCGGCCCGTGTTTCATCCACAGGCACGATACTCCGGGAGACATCTGCATTGGTGTACGACTGGCATTGGCTGGTATGACCAGAATTACCTTCGTGGTTGGAAGGACTAGCAATTGATTGCGTTATCGGGGCATTGCTAAACGAGCGTCTTGAGAGTTCGACGCAGCAGTTCATTTTTAGCCTTCTCGGGCCAAATTCGTCAGGCCGTCCGGAAAAAAATCTTTGATCGCTTTTCGCAGTTTCTCTAGCGAGCGTCGACAATGCATGTCTTCGCATGTAGCTTTGCTTTCCATGCCAAAGCCCATTCAACCAATGCGAGAACTTCAAGTCGGACTGCAATCCATTGAACTCCTTGGCAAGAGCCTTTGAAGTGGGGGCTGGACGCGTTTGCCGTGACTGCTGGGTCAAGTCGAGACAGATACTAGGAAGGCCGAAGTGCCTTTCTAGGCTTAAGAGCCAAGTGCCTGTCTTGAAATCATGAGATGCAGCCCAGCATCTGGATGTGCATCTTTGAAATTTTGGTGTCCCGAGGCTTCTTGGGAAGCACGTTCCACACAGGCGTGTGGGGGGTATCATGCTGCGCTCTTCTGCTGGTAATGTACCTGAACGTTAGGGCTAATTAGATCATTGTAGTCCACACGCTGGTTATGCGCTGGGCAAAGCCGTGACCCTAGTTCTCGACGCGATACTCGAGGTGGTCCGACTTGCTTTACTCGAGGAGACGAGCAAAGTAACATGACCCTTGTGAGCGATTTACACAGTATCGTGCATAGGCTGGCTAATTATAAAGCAATACTCCACCAGAGTCCACTGTAGTAGATAATCAGGTAGTCGACCTTTTCATGCCATGTATTCAGTGGCAGGGTTTGTATAGATGTATCAGATCGGAGATACTAAGGATGAGCGGAGAAGGATCGGCGATAGATGTGATTGGGTTGAACTTCGGATCGGATAAACTTGCTCCCTTGCCCTCCAAGATCGTCTGGTGGAATGCTCAAAGATCCGCTTGAGGCTTCATTTTCTATACAACGTATAACACTTTGATACGGATATTCTCTTTACTATTAAAGGTGGACTCTTAAGTGTAAGGACGCAGCTGTGAGGAGAGCGCGATAGATTCTGGCCATAGAACACTTCGAGCACAATGGCGTCCCAACTCCTTCCTTTGGGTAACCTTCATAACCACCTCCACGTGTATACATAGACTTGTGTCATTAACAGGTTGGCAGAATTGATCGATAAGTGTGTGGGATCGAGAATCTGGGTCGTCATGAAGGGTGACAAAGGTATGCGACTACAGTGGTTGCGACGACTAGGTACTGACAACATAAAGAATTCTCCGGCACATTACTTGGATTCGACGACTACGTCAGTAAGTTATCTCCGGTATCTGTCGAGAGTCCTAATAGATACTGACTTGTTGCAGATATGGTTCTGGAAGATGTGACTGAATTGTAGGTGAATGCTTTCATTCTTGTCATGCTGGTTATACGCCCGTCAGCTCTTCCAGGATGCCTCCTGTTTTGTTTCTGCGCTTCAATGACGGTGTAAGCATTAACATATTGTAGCGATTACTCTGGCGCACAGGTCAAGCTTCCTAAGATCCTGCTAAACGGGAACAATATCTGCATGGTATGAACGCCGAAGTCCCTCTCTCGCCATCGATCGCACAATCCTGACATTGTCTTTTAGTTAATTCCTGGCGGCGAGGGACCAGTTGGCAGCTCCTGATTTTTTTGATTTCCATTTTTTTTTTTTTTTTAATTTTCGATCAGTATGATGAACACGGCTTGCAAACGACTATCACAGTGATATCCCATAGAACTTCACCTGAATAGCAAAAGTGTTCCCTTTGCACGGTTGCAGTCTCCTGTCCCACTGCATTCTCACTTAGTTCATCCCAATGCGACGTCGCAAAAGCATGTTCGCCGAGCTTGAGAAGCGACGCTGATACCGCTGAAGAGCATGAGAACCGGCCTGGGTACTGTCCATGGTTGCAAGACTCTGTGAGAATCGTGCGTAGAAAAGGAAACAGTCTCCATGGACGGTACAGAAGCAGTACAATCGGCGGGTGACGAGATCGAAAGAGAGACGGACACACCCATACGAACGGTATTGGCTTGGCATTCTCGGCAAGATGCGAGGGGAACAGCTGTGAGTGCAGCGGGAAGCTTTGCAGGCAAGAACTCAGAAACAGAAAGTCAATTTCTGGTCTTCAAGCTCTTTGATCAGGAGTCTAGACAGTGGCAGGGGTATGGTTGAAGCCTATGACTATCATGACATCCAATTGAGCTATTTTCGTTAGTCACTCCAAGAACCATCCTGGAGGAAATCGTGACCGTCTGAAGCCGTTGACCCGTCAACGAGCGGAGACGCATCATTGACATCGTTGAGAATGGGGATCACTGGCGCTAAGATGCGGAAAACCTGGGGTAAATCTTTCCCTTATTCTTCTTCAAAGTAAACCATGATTCGTAGAGTCTGGGGTAAAAGGTACGGATTTGCTGGCTCCAAGGCTAGTCCGACGAATAGCATGTCCTCGAATACCCATCGTGTTGTCAGTACGGAGTGGATCGCTCGCGGATATTTTGGGGGAGACTCCATCCGCTGCTTCGATCACTCGCCGTCGGTTGGCAGCGGAATCTTTATTGAACTCCGTGCAAACAGGCTGGTTGGACGAGATCATTTTTGGAGTGATCTCCACTCATTTCAGCCGGTGAGTCTTGCTATGCTCGGTTCTCTGCCCCAGATATTTCCCCAGATCACGGTGTGGAATCTATTACATAACAGGTTCCGCTATTCCCCGCGTTTGCACAGCGAGACGGGGGCGAAGCGGCAACATCAAAGCATATCCGGAGAATCAAAGAGCGGTTTATGAGACAATTCCCACCGCGTCTATCATTTGTACTCCAATCATTGATCTGGAGCATTTAAGGGGAGGAAAGAGAAGGGGACGGAAACCAGCAATACCCCATCATATGACACTGAAGTCCATATCATTGGAGACAGGGATATATCATTGCGCGATTTTGGTAGGTTGAACTTATTTTCGGCCAGAGACTGATGCCCGTTGCCGGTCGAGTCCCGGTCGTGCGCCCAATCCCAAAGCGTTGCGTTTCAACTACGATCTCTACTCATCTTGTAGACACTGTATCACTCGATTCGGTAATAGAAATTCAATGGTATGTCAGTATAACATATCACTATTAGGTTGGCCCGTGCAGAAAACCACGACATTTGTGTAACCCTTTTTTTTTTGGCTTTTTCGATGCCACGAGGGTCCTGTGTTCCTTTCAAGGCTCATGTACTCACGTTGAGAGCCATACGACAAATTAATCTCGTCACGTGAACGAAGTTTCTCATCTTATCCAGTGAAAATCAAAATGCGAGGAGTCCAAAACACCCTGCTGATGGCGAGGGAAAACTGGATTTCTGGAAACTTGGGGCGTGGAACTAACTTTTGTTCTTCTGGAATCCAAAAGCGCCCCAAAGGCTAATGGGCTACGCCATCTGCGCGCGATGTTACCGTAGCCGGTTCATCAACCATCTTCGTTAGCAGGAGTCAGCCACTAAGGCTTGGTAATTCCTTCAGTCCTACAGAGTACAGTGAATTTGCTTGCCACACAATGAACAATTGTTAATTACTATTATGGTCCTGGCAGACAATGAGAGTTCTTTGAAGAAACTTTGAACCAAAGTAGGGCACCGTAGACCATCGAATCGAAAGGTAAGAAATGAACTTCATCTACCGTATGATTTCGAGGAGTGGTGAGTAGTCAAAGCACTCGGGAAGACTTGGCTGAGGGAGGAAAAAGTAGCCTGTGTTGTACTCTGGACCTCGGTCACTACTCACCAGCATATGCGTGATCAATCGCACAGACAGTAATGAGGCCAAATGCCCAGTTAGTGGCCGAGGAAAAATAAATTACCCTAGCATTTATCTATTGGTACCTATTCCTGAGTGGTAAGGTGATGGCAGGGCAATAGTGACCTGGGCTGCATAAGAAAGATTTGGGCAACAGGCTGAAATGCAAGATGGCCGACGGATTCCGAAGCGATCGCATCTTACTTTGTAGGTACCAGTCGATAGAACAGTGCTACTGAAAGTATCACTATTCCTGCAAATCAGGCGTTCCTGGACTTTCGATCGTACCTGAATTAAACGCGTCGAAGCCCTCGCCTTCAGAACTTTTGAGGAAGGCGACTGAATATCAGAACACATTGATTATGTGCCAGGTTGGGCATAGAGCTCAAGCGCCGGTGAGGACGATGGCATCTGCCCCTACCACTTCAAGGATTACTGTGCTTCCGTGCATCTGGAGATCCCCTAACACGGTTGAGACAGACGAGTAGGAAGCTCTTCAGGTGTAGCGTTGTGGCTCTAAGCCCTGTGTAGTTATGGTAAGTTTGGTAACAGCCAACCAGGTACATGATCGGGGATATGGTTTTCGGGAAGTAAGCACTGTCAAGTTATCAGCCTTCTTCCCTCGACCTTCCAGAAGGAAAGTAGCGACATCACCTGAGTGTGCTATAAATCATCGAAACACAAACAATCCCTTATCTGCGTGGTGTTTGGTCGTGCGGTTCCGTGCATATCAGGATCATGAGCTTACTGTAGGTTTCAAATGTAAGGAATAATACCTATGCAAGTGTTATCTATGGGGCTGCCAATGGAATTTTTGATTGGTTACTGGAGGATATCGCGTGGAAGAAGTGGTGCGGAGACTAATTCCTAATGAGGATTAGCGGGTTTCATCCTCTCAAAGCGACGACGGCTTGTCCGGTGAGCCCCACCCCTCCTTTTCTGCTCCAGCCTCCAGAAGGGCAGGAGGCCAAGGAATCCATGCCTTATCGCCCTCATTAACCATGGACTCATGGTTCACAAATCACAAGCGATGTCGCCACCATCCCGGCGAATGGCACAGTAAGGTAGAGAATCGAGACAGCCTATTGTGTTGGCAATCGACCATTCGCCCCGAAGTCATTCGCCATGTAGAGCCCTGTATAAGCGAAGAAGTACTTAGGTAGTATTTTCTTATCCTTGGCGGTCTGCGGTTTCCTTGGTATAGGAATGTCATCTCTGCAAACGGAATATCTACTCAGTCGTCCAGATTAGTGTTACAACAGTCCATTACCAATGCCGTGATAAGAGCCCTTGTGACAGAGCTGTTAGATAGCAGAGACGCTCCGGGCTATCTATGGTTATGCATAGATAAGTGGTTATGGAGTCTCTGGAGCAACTTAGCAAGTTGGTGGTTTCAACTCCACAACTGGATGGATCCTCACCAATCTGGAGAGGCACCTGCTCGGGTCTCAGGTTGTCCGCGGTCGCGGCTCGCAGGATATATGATACCAAGAAACTTGCCCAACCCCAACTCCAAGACTGCTGGTCACTGGCCAGTGCCCCATAGACTCTCTAACCCGAAGCGGTAGTGCGGTACAGCCACTAACTCCAGGTGGAACCTCTGTTAAATCAAGCGACTATCTAGAATCCTAGATACATGGAAGCTGAACCCAACCTGCTACCTGGGCAGAGGACGTTGTATTGCATTGGCATCCTCTTATATTTAATTCGATGTTATCTTTCTTGTGTGCATGAAAACATGCAATCATGCTGGTCTCTCCCTTTTTTACGCCCCATTTCCCCTACTTCCCTGGAATCATCAGATTGAAATGGCGTTGGTCTGCTCTGGATATCATACAGAAGGGTGGATGATAACAGATGGTTTCTGGTTAGGTCACGGGTTATTCTAACGTTCTAACCCTGAGGATAGGATATTTAGAAAGAAATATGTATTATTATCATGATTATTATTATTATTATTATCTGACTAGCTTGATGCAAGACGCGGCTGGTCTAGTTTTGAGTTGAAATGGCTCGTGGTCTGTCATTATTCCCGCAGTCAGTTCAGTGAGTTCACTGAGCAATAATAATAATTTCAAACCTGTCCAGGATGGATGGCAAAAATCGAGGGTCATTGTAAATAATAATAATCAAAATCATTGAATAATAAACTACTAAAGCAAAGTCTAATTGGATCTAGTCTACCCCGGGCCCGGCCAATTTCACTGTTTTTAACTTCCCCCGTCCTAGGGAACAGCACGCCAAAGCGTAAGCTGTCGGCCAGTAAGCCCAACCACAGATATCCTGACTCTTGGTATCTATCTATCTGTGTGGCGCCTGGGGTGAGGGGACCTTTCCTTTGCTGCAAAAGCGTTCTTCGTATCTTGACACTAAAGAGGCAAAAATGATTATTGTCTTTGAGACTAGTCTACCTAACCTAGTGAGAATGTGATCATCCCATAGACAGCCCTCTTTTCCAATTATTTATACCGACCCATCTGCCTCTCCCTCGTCATTTACTCAGACTAAATAGTCTGTCTGCATTGAACGCTAGACAGTACACTCCTAGTCTCCATCTTGTATCAATCTACTCACCTCACTCCTTTTCACTTATCTTACCCCTTCATGTCACATTTATCTTCGCTTCATTAACAACTACACAATCATGGAGAAAGATTCTATTGAACCTAAGGCGGAGCCTATGGTGTCCGACCCTCCCCCAATCTATGGTGAAACAGAGACTACCAAAGGAAGCATGAGTCAGCGGATATGGGACAGCTTCAAGAGGGACCCTAACGCGCATGTTACGGCGCACACCTCTGGATCGAATGGCGGGACCTTTGACCTCGAACAGGCTGCGCAGAAGACCGCAAGCTCTCCTCTGCAACGCAGTCTGAAGAATCGTCATCTGCAGATGATTGCCATTGGTGGTTCCATTGGTATGGACTGGCGCTCGAAATCCCGCACATTGCTTTGATGATCCTTGCTAATCTAGTCTTTTCACTCAGGTACTGGTCTCTTCGTCGGTTCTGGAAAGGTTTTATCCACCGGTGGTCCGGCGTCTGTGCTGATCGCTTATGCCTTGATCGGTTGCATGCTTTACTGCACTGTGCATGCGCTGGGTGAAATGGCCGTGCTGTTTCCCGTCGCTGGTTCTTTCGCGCACTACTCAACCCGTTTTATCGATCCTGCTTGGGGTTTCGCTATGGGCTGGAACTATGCTCTCCAATGGCTGATCGTCTTGCCCCTGGAAATTGTCGCTGCGTCTATCACAGTTGATTACTGGGAGTCGAGCATCTCGAATGCCGCTTGGGTCGCCATATTCTGGGCTGTCATCGTGTCAATCAACCTGTTCGGTGTCAAGGGTTATGGTGAAGCCGAATTTGTCTTCTCGCTTGTCAAGGTCATCGCGGTTATTGGTTTCATGTGAGTAATCTCGCAACATCCCTTTCGAGCTGCGCCCGACTGACAAAAAAATAGTATACTTGGTATTATTCTGAACTGCGGTGGAGGCCCCAAGGGTGGCTATATCGGTGGAAAGTACTGGCACTCGCCGGGTGCTTTCAACAATGGTTTCAAAGGTCTCTGCAGCGTCTTCGTCAACGCTGCATTTGCGTTCGCTGGTACTGAGCTGGTCGGTCTCGCTGCGGCTGAGACTGCGAATCCTCGCAAGTCCCTTCCAACTGCCGTCAAGCAGGTTTTCTGGCGTATCTGTCTGTTCTACATCGTCTCGCTCACTCTGGTTGGCCTGCTCGTTCCGTTCGACGACAAACGGCTTTTGGGCGAGTCGAGCGCGGATGCCAAAGCTTCCCCGTTCGTCATTGCGATCAAGAATGCCGGAATTTCGGGTCTTGACTCCGTTATGAACGTCGTCATCATGATTGCTGTCTTGTCCGTTGGTAACTCCTCGGTTTACGGCTCCTCGCGTACCCTCGCGGCTCTGGCCGAGCAGAGGCAAGCACCTCAATTCCTCGCATACATCGATCGTAAGGGACGTCCTCTTTTTGCCATTCTTGTCGCATCGGCCTTGGGCTTGCTCGGATTCCTTGCCGCATCTAGCAAGCAGGGTGAAGCGTTCATGTGGATGATGGCTATCTCGGGTCTTTCGTCCATCTTCACCTGGGGCTCTGTTTGTTTCGCCCACATCCGCTTCCGTAAAGCCTGGAAGGTGCAGGGCCACAGCTTGAACGAGCTCGCTTTCCAATCTCAGGCGGGTCTTGTCGGCTCCTGGATCGGGTTTATCTTCAATTGTCTTGTGCTGGTTGCCCAGTTCTGGGTCGGCTTTGCACCTATTGGTTACAGCGAAATGACTTCAGGCGCGCTGGTTGAGGCCTGGTTTTCCGTCTACCTGGCCGCGCCTGTTGTTCTTGTTTTCTACATCGCCTACAAGATCTATTACAAGACGCCCTTCCTGCGTGCTAAAGACATGGACTTGCACACTGGTCGTCGGGAGTTGGATATCCAGCATCTGATTGAGGAGGAACGTGCTGAACAGGCCGCTTGGCCTGTATGGAAGAAGGTTTATAAAACCTTCTGCTAGAGACGATGTGTAGTTCATAGAAGCTCTCTTCTCTGAGACACGCGTGACGTTCTTGCGGTGGTTTTATTTTTCATTTCTGCTTCTGTACATTCATGATGTCACTCTTATCTCGGCTTTGACAGCCTCAATCCATGATTGTGTATCGGGATATTAAATCCGATATTGCAGATCAATCCAATCATCAAGGAATTATTACTTTGTTGAATCATGCAAATCTAGATATGTTGTCCAATCCATGTCACAGCAAGCTGTATTCCACGACTACCGGTTGAGCATTGTTAGGACGGACAATCCGTCTGCCTAAGGCAATAAAGCGTCGTAATGGCTTTACTCAGAAGGAAACCGCTAAGGTCAGTGACTATTACCGCGTACTGTAAGACTTGTATCATATCAGCCACAAGTATTCTCCCGCGATGTTAAGTGTTGTAATCTTTCGACTCTTTCGACCTGCCAAGCCAACCTACCTCTCTAACATACCCAAAAATAGAGACTTCAGCTAAGGTCCAGAGGTTGGAGCAGGAGAAAACAACGTGGCGGCTGGAGTCCAAAACCGCGTAATTTTACCGTAGCTTAATTACATGGCGGCAGTCCAAACGGCCAACCCAGACTCTTTTCAGGATCTCGGCCAGCGAGACAAACTCATTAATCTCTGTATTGTTGTTCACTCCATGTTGCTGTTGTCGTCGCGTTCAGTGGACGGGTTGTACAATTGAACTTTCTTTAACTTCAATTTCGTTGGCAACGTTCTTTTTCGCTTTCGTCTAGCTCTTACTCCCGCTAAACGCCCGCTCTGGTCGATCGTTAGGCGCCCTCATATACATTCTCCTCAAGCCCATGCCTGCTCGCAGCCGATTTGTTCTGCCCTGGGATTTGCAAGTGCGATAAAAAGAAGCGGTTCGGAAGAGTTTGGTCACTCATTACCACTTTCGCATTTTGATTAGTCCTTCTGCTCTCGAGGCTGTCGGGAGTATCTCAGCGTGTGGTTGTGTGAAGTTTCAGGCGCGGCACAAGTCATTCTTTCCTTCGGCCTTCCGTCTACCTCGAGATACCCCGCGCGGCAGTCACTCTAATCTCGGTTGAGAATAATTCCACAAGCTACCCGGGCCAGTGCTGCAGTGGATACCTTGGGAACGAAAAAATGCCTGGTTTCGCGGATTCATTCTGGACACCGGACTACGCTACCGGTCTTGGGGTGCTGTATGGGAAACTCCAACAGGGTGTCGTCGAAAACAGGCAGATTCTCACTATTGCGAGCTTGCGAGCGGATGCGGAGGAGCAGTATGGTCTCAAGCTCGGGGAGATCGCGCCCAACGTGGATCGCATGACAACAGGGTTTGCGAAAGACGATGGGGCTAGCGTGAGAAAGGTAGGTTGTTCTTCGCCCTTTCCGGGGAGACTCACTTGCTAATCGTGTGCGTTCTCAGGCGTATGAAGGTGTTCGCTCGGAAATGATCGAGGCCTCCAAAAACCATCAGAAGATCGCGTCGAACATCCGTGAACTCGTCGTTTCCCCCTTCAGACGATGGTGTGACCAGCACGAGGCTCGAATTCAAAACTCCCATGATGATCTTCAGACCCGTATTAAGGAGCATACCAAGCAGGTGGAACTTACCAAGAAGCTACGGAGCCACTACTTCAACAAGTGCCGGGTGGTAGAGGATCTGGAAGAAGAAAACAAGTTGGCTTTCCAGGATCCTGAGACTAGTCCCAAGGCCAAGGCGACACCCAAGATTGTTCTGCCGGAAGAACAAGCAGAGGAGGAGGAGCCGATCGAGCTGGGAGATCGAGTCTATGCCCCCGAGGACCTCAAGAAGCTCCTGATACACATGCTTGATAATATCAAGGTTGGGGAGGTCAAAGTGCCTATCATTGGGACTTATCAGAATACATCCAACGGTGCTGATATCGTGGAGTATATTCAAAAGTACATGAATGGAACCAGCGTCAGCTATGCCGAGAGAATTGGTCAGGATCTTGTCGATAATGGATTTCTGCGCCTGGTGGGCAATATAGGCAGCACTTTCGCCAACAGCTCCAAGATGAACTATCAGTGGCGCCCAAAAGTGTTTCAAATCACCGGAATTCCCGAGAAAAAGAAGCCTTTGATGCGCGTGACGTCGATTGCGTCCAGTGAAGACGGCAGTGAATCACCGATTGCTTCCGTATCAGAGATGCTCGCGGGCTGGAATCCTCTCAACAACCCACACCCGAACGAGACTCCAGCTGATAAGCTACGAAGGGAAGCGCGCGAAGCCGATGAACGGTACAGAGCCGCTGTGCGGAAACTTGATCAGATCAGATGTAAGCTCGAAGAAGAAATTGTGGAGAATCTCCGCTTCATGGAGCAGTGTGAGCTGGATCGTCTCAAAGCGATCAAGGCGGTTGTTCTCGACTTCTCGGGTGCCATCAGCAACGTCATTCCAAACTTGCAAAGCACCGTCGATCACATGATGCTCTATCAAGAGACAATTCAGCCGTTGGGAGATCTACGCTATCTGCTGGAAAATTATCGTACAGGCGGTTTTGTGCCGCGGGTCCAAGCCTATGAGAATTATTACGGATCCGTCGAAGGTATTGTTACATCCCGATAGGCTTATATCATGTGCACTACGGTTTCTCACTCTTGCAGAACAAAATTTCGGGGTCGATCTTGAGGCTAGAGCTCGAGCTGATCGGAAGAGAGTTCCAATTCTTGTGACGACTCTACTGACATACTTGGACAATCGTAGGCCAACGGTATCCCTTTTTCCTACCCAAGTGCATTTGAGCTAACCAATCTTCTCAGATTATCCCGAACTCGAAGGTGATGAGGCACGCCGTGCGATCTGGCTATATGATGTTCCTTTGGCCGCAACGCATCATCTTCGCAATGCATTGAATAACAGCAAAGCGGATTACAACGAAATCCTTCGGAAATACGATATACCCATTGTCGCGAGCGTGTTGAAATTGTACCTTCTTGAACTACCAGGTCCGTATCAAGAAATGGTGGAGGTGTTCTAGTTCATCGACCTAATTTCTTACTAGATTCCCTTGTTTCTTCGCAAGTATATGAGATTGTCAAGACTATTTATTCAACTACCGCTCATGAAACGACGGAAGACGGACGGATCAAAGTTCTGCAAAGCACCCTTGGTCAGCTTCGTCTCAACAACATCGCTACACTTGACGCCATCATGACCCATTTCACGCGACTTATAGACCTAACATCTGCCGACGAGGCATATATCTCCGCATTGGCGCAAACACTCGCTCCCTGCATCCTCCGCCCTCGTATTGAGAACAGCCTTACGATGAATGAACGTCACAACTACCGTCTTATTCGTGACCTGTTCGCTCACAAGGATACTATCTTCGGCGAGCTGAAACGTCAATCGAGCGTGCTTGGATTAGGCTCAACATCCAATCGCCCACGTGCCATTAGCACAGATGAGAGCAATCGCCGTGCTGCAATGGAGGCAAGGAACCGTGCTATCGTAGACCGCAGTCGTGCTAATAGCCCCGCTCCTCCCCGCAAGCATCGGCGAGACCGCTCCAGTGGTGCTTCGGAGGCTGGACGGTTTCCAATCCACGTCACCAGCCCGACCGAAAGGAAAGCAGCCACGAGGAGCAGTTTGGAAGTCCCGGCCAACGCTGAAACTCCCACAACAGGAGAGCAATTCACAAACGTGAACATCCAGACCAACGATAGCGCCACTAATGGCACATCCAGCGATTCCCCAGCCTCTGCCGCCGCCGGAGAGAATGCCTCCTCGGAATCATCTAGTCCTCCGCCTGCAGGTAACTCTGACGGCTCTCCGACTCCTACTCCCACGCCCGGCTATGTGACAGCTCCAGGCGAGCCGGAAAAGCGTAGCTCGATTCCACGCTCTGGTGCTATGTTCAACCGCAAACCCGGTCTCGGCAACCGATCCAGCTTCCCCGCTGTTGCAAGCGCGGAATCAGAACTGGACAGCAAGCGGAACAGCCTTGCTGAAAGCGAACCCAAGGGTGTAACCTTGGAGGATAAACCTATGGATGATTAGACGTTCAGGACATCGATGTCTTCATGCTGTCAACGCTGTCATGATCAGATTCGAGCGAGGCTTGAGTTTACCCTGCAGACTAAGGTTAGATCATATGAACATCACCGCTCGAGCTTTCGGCAGGTCTTGTTAGTCGAGCTGGCGATGGGATTGCTTTCTGATTCTCTGTTTTCATTTCCACTGTTCTCTGTATTCATGCATACAGCCCTTTTGCCCCTTAACACATACCCATTTCATCATGTATCTTTATCGTGTCTATCCAGAGACTCTTCTGTCGTCATTCCTTCCGTTATTACTTTTGTTCTTTCCCTTGAAGCTACTTTTCAAATCGTGTTGAACTTATCGAGGGCGATTGTGAATCTTGTTATATAGTATTTCTCTTTTCATCAGGGCATACTCTACTCGTAGAAGTCCGCGGAGTGTCACCTTTGTAAGATTATGATCTTTATCGGCTCTTTCGTTGTAACCATATATTGGTGTCTAATACAGGAGCGCCCAGCCCAAAGTCCTCGAGTTATGCTTGTTTTTTAGACCCAACCAACAATCCTAGACGCCCATACAGAATGCTAATAAACCAACGCTCAAAAATCTCCAACATTGCATATGTCCTTCAGTGCCTCTGGGCCTGAAGCTGATAGGATTACAGACCTTCACCCATGAGTAACCTTCTGAGAATGCCTTCTCCCGGGCCAGCAATCTGGCTCTCGATTTCCCTTCGTGAAACAAAGCAAACAAGGCCTTGCTCATCCATTCCTTTCCTTGGAGTCATCGGCCCACAGCCCGACTTTGAGGGAGTGCGTCTGATATCAGAGCCGCCAGAAACCGTTCCACCTCTGCCTCGGCCCTGGAATTCGCCGACGAGGCCTAACGTCTCCAAATTACTGATGACATCCTTGAATTCAGTAGCCGTCAGGGGATGGAGGATATTGTCTGTTCGACACAGCGTGCAATAAGTATCGAAGATCTGTTTAATAG